CATCAGGAGGTTGGTTGAAATACTTCCCAGCCAAGTTCTCTCCATTCAGTAGATCGTTCCAATGCCACATGATACTTGCAGCACTGCATAGAACACTGGGAGCACCTTCTTTAGCTGCAAGCAAGATGTTGTAATTGTTCATCCTCAGCCTGTGCAAGCAACTGGCAAAGTCTCTGTCACTGGAGATGAGGAACAAATGGGCTGGCGGCGGATTTTGGGATACCCAGTCCATTAGACCCACTAGAAGAGACCTGTCTGCACTGTTCTTTCCTCCTGCAACAATGTGAATGAAAAAGGGGGAGAAAAACTCAATAGCAGTGGGTTGAAACCTGCGGTTTCAAATGATGCAATCCACAAGAAAGGATTTCCGAAAAATTAGACATACTCTGACGTTCTAACAATCTTTCAAACATCATATCCTTTATCCTTATGATCATTTGATCTTATATATAAGTCCACTTAATTCAAAACCATACATTCTCAAAATGCACACATTTTACCTATCCGATAACAATCATAGATTCCAAAACCACCACACCTTAAAACTTTTCCAAAATCAACTAATCAAGAAAGACTTGATCTCAATACTCAAACATTAATCCAATGCATACACATCTCAATCTCTATACTTTCCCAATACATCCAAAGTCACATTGTCAAATTCTCTACATCAACAACACCAAAGGTTTGACCTTTAGAAATAATCTACCGAAATGAGCAATGGGTAGATGAAAACGAGGAGAAAGAGAGAGAGAGAGACGGAGAGGAAGGAAAATACCATTGGGGACGTGAGCCATGTTGATTCCAGTGGAGGAAAGAGCTTCCTGGTTTGCCCTAGAGAGCTGGAAGACGTCTCCGTACGCCGTGATGTGAACGGGACCTTTCATCCCGTTGGCCCTAACGGCAGCCGTGATGGTCTGCGCCACTCTAAACACATTGACCCCAGCCGGCAAATTGCAATTCTCGAAATCCCACCATACCGAGACCCTCACGGACCTCGAATCCTCCTCCTGCTGCTGCCTCCGCGACTGGAACGGCTGGAATTGAGACGGGGACGAGGTGGAGAAGTAAGAAACGAGGACGGATTGGGACAGGGTTTTGGCGGGAAGGAGGGGAACTTTCTTCGCGATCATGGCGGATTCTGGGTTTGTTTTGATGTTTTCCACTGGAGCTTGTAGGTGGGCGTGTTCAGAGAAGTGTGATGTGAAGGGGAAAAGGGTGTCTTCTAGTTCGCCATTTTAGGTCGGTGAGTTTTGCTGCACCCACCTCCTTTGGAGAATGGAGAGTGTTGCAGAGAAGAGAGGCGAATCCAAAACCCTTGGTAAAGCCCTAGTGCACGTGATATGCACGTGGGATAGAAATTGTGTTGGGCTGGGCTGGGCTGAACAGAACTAGATTGGGCGAAGGAGAGAGTTACCTTTGGCAGTTTGGGCTTAGAAAGCGGTTCAGCTCGGCCCAGTCGGGAGGTTTCCATATGTTGTTATTAGGTTGGGTAATGCATGTGGTGGTAGATAATGAACTTACCTAAGTTCACTATTTGTCGACTGTCGCACGATGTTCTGTTCTTTGATTACGTATAGGTAAGAGATTTACTTGACCATTGTCTATGTTAAAAATAAAATCACTATGGATGAGTTGGGGATCTCACTTATAAGGAGGCATAGCCTGAAGAAGACAATATTGTCCTCTTGAAGGATATATTCAAAGTGCGGTAGAGGTCTATGAGCTTATGCATACTAAAGTGATAGTCAAGAGTTTATTTCGAGAGTGAGGCTGTAATTCTAATACCTTCTCGATTTGTATGAATGATATGGACCAACCACCCGTAAATCAGTTTACTTCGAATAACAAAAATAAGAGTGATATAGAGATGATTTGAGATTGTATTCCAACTGTCAATTGGGGAAGATCTGTCATGCTAATGTCATATTCATGGTCAATCTTTTTATATCTCCATCTCATCTCATGGACAAATCGTATGAGTCATAATATCATATTCCTTATTAGTTATTACCCTCCCATCTCACGTACGTTCAAAATTTCTACGAATATTTTCAATTCAGCGGCCAATTTTATCTCCTTACATGCAGAACCTATCTTTCAAACAGATACCTACTCATTAAGATTTATGTATTTATTTCGGAATCGATGTCCGACAGTTCGATTCGAGGATAGCCAGATTTGAGATACGGAGATGTAATTCTGCCTGATATTAAGAGTATTGTCATCTCTATCGATGTACCCAATTCGAACCGAGTCAAATTAACTAGCTGCACAGGCAAACGAACCCTAAATACGTCAAACATGTGATTAATGAGCCGACGAGATATTTCTTTCTAGGCGACGTCCTCTTCAAGTTCGACTCTTCCACCACTCAAGCCAAAGCCAACTGGCCATCACCAGCTAGCTAATAAATGGCCGGAGAATTGACCGGCCGGCCGCCAAAAGGAGATCCATCCCTTTCGTCGGAAAATGGAAGCGTTTACACACACATATATATAGCATGCATGTAACGTGCAGTTGATAGAAGTGACACTTTGAAAGCGATTAGGGGTCCCTAAAAAAGTTTGAAACTTTGCCACCAATATTAAAATCACTCACTTGGAAACAAAAGCCACTCACTCATCTTTCTCTATCGAAAACGATTGAATTGTTTTCTCCCAAGCAATATCATGTTAAAACGAACTATAATACTACGTAGGGCTGAAAATTTGTCTGTCCCGTCCCTGTCCCGTCCCTGTCCCTGTCTGACCCATCCCTGAAGGGTCAAGATGTATAACCGTCCCGTCCCGTCCCTGTCTCCTTCTTGACCCTGTCTGACCCTCAAGGGTTGGGACGGGACGGGTCAGTGGGTCGACCCTAATCAACACACTACTTTTTTACAAATTACGTTTTGGTACCAAAAATTATTTTTTCTTACAATTTAGTACCTAAATTTTATTTTTTTACAAATAAGTCCATAAATTTTGATGGTAAAATTACATTTTGGTACCCAAATTTTTTATTTTTACAAATTAGTACCTAAACTTTTAAAACTTTACAAAAAGGTCCAATGAAGTATGAGATATTTGTTGTTGCTAAGGGTCACAGGGTCAAAACGTGACCCGTCCCTAAGTTGTCCCGACCCGTCCCGGCCCTTACAGGGTCAACAAATGACCCGTCCCTAATCTGTCCCTGTAGACAAACTGACCCGTCCCGACCCTTAGGGACGGGACGGGTCGGGACGGGTCAGTGGGTCTTCAGGGACAAGCTTTCACCCCTACTACGTACCATTAAATACCTTAATATCATGTTAAGAATCAGTACACTATATTGATAATGAAAACATCATATGATTGTCTTACAAATGCGTAACAGTCACTCAAATTATTGAAAGATTGAGATTGACAAAGCAACCATAAAATGTTGCTGGCAATGGCTATGCCCCAAATTTCATTGACATCTATAGAGACTGCTCCTGATCAGCATGCTCTATATTTGTGTATGCATTATAGTCCACAATGGATGCATTATTATGGTTGGCTTTAAGGAAAGCAGAGAAGAAAAAAAGCAATAGGGAAACATATTTCAAACGGTGGTTGAATAATGAGTCGTTACTTAATCAGCACATCATCATCATGAACGTGCTTTTGTCTCGCTTTATTTTCATTTTCATCTCAATCAAGAAATCAATAAAATCGACTAAAGGCCTTTAAATATAGTTCCATCAACACTGAAAGGGAATTGTTTTTTTTTTGTCCCTTTTCGAATCACGGTTGGACCGTAGTTGAGGTGGGGAGGGGAACCTTCAATGTCATGATCCGCTTCTGACCCGAACTATATATACGATAATACCGTCAAATACCCGCATTCAAAAGATAGATGTTATACAAATAACTCGAAAGCAAGACATTCTACAACCGAGACGTGGCTCATATGCTCTCGGTTGAGTAATTTTGGAGGAAATTCGACAATATCCTTCTTTTTTTCTGTTATTGTGCATTTATTTCTTGCGATTACAACAAGGCTGTCCATTTAGTGATTCAAAATGCTCTTTCATCGATAATTCAACTAAGGGGACCAATACCCTTTGGACACACACGTCCCAATATGAAAATCCTGTCCATCCGGCCGCATATGTACCTTTCTCTTCTCTCCATCATTGGCCAATATCCCTTCTATTATCTTCTACCTAAGCTTCCATAATTGTAAACCATAAATTCGTGTATGCATACTATATACTGTGGATCAAGGTTCTAAGGTTGCAACGCATTGGTCCCTAGACCAAAACCATCCAAATCCAGATCGCTTGGTTACGTTCGATCTGTTTATCAGATTTATAAAGAACATGAAGTTTGATCTATTATTCGTAACTCCAAAAATGGAGTTGGAAATTTGATACAAGGGTCGATTTGAACTCTAGTTCGACCTGTTTATATGCATGTATATTTTAGCCATAACTTGTAAGGCGGGTTGCCTTGGAAATCTCATATGTTCCACACTCTTATTCGTGTAAGCTCTTTATAAATGAAATGAACAAAACAACATCATAATACCTCTTAACTATTACGCATGAATCCTATCCCTTGCACATCATATACGCATAAACCGAGTGCCTCGTATTGATGCGGATAGAACTACTATACAAAAAAGTTTAACCATTAACGACACGAACTCGATCTTATCGATTCGACTACAGATAACTTCTCACGTCATGTGATTACACTCTTTATAAACAAAAAATGAAGAATGAATAGTTTCACATGTCATTTGGATTGAAATCAAATAGCTAGTCACATCAAACCAAAACAAATCGTCAAAGTTAGGATATCTCTCTCTCTCTCTCTCTCTCTCTCTTGCCAATCATATAACTCAACATATATAAATGAGTGGACTCTTCATCAACACACAACACATCCACAACTTCACAACCCTACTTCTTTTCCCAACACACACTCAAAAAGATAGAAGCAAAACAATAAAACAAAACAAAACACAAATTAAACCTACTTCCATTAATTATGGGAGGAGCTTCACCGTCGGCGGCGAAGTTCGATGGTGGCAAGAAGGCGTATGGAGCCGTGGTGCTGATACAGCTGATCTACGCCGGGATGTTCCTCCTCTCCAAGGCAGCGTTCGACGGCGGCTTCAAAACTTCCATCTTCGTCTTCTACCGGCAGGCCTTGGCCGCCGCCCTCGTCGTCCCTCTCGCCCTTTTCCTCGAATGGTATTTACCATTTTCGCTACTCTTTTCATTTCATTGATATATTGTAACTTTTTTTATTAAAATATTGTTCCAACCTCGGCTGGCCGGCGGCGAACAGGAACCACGCGCCGGCGCTCTCGCTCCCCACCTTCTGCAAGATCTTCGTCCTCTCCCTCTTCGGGTAAAAACGAATCTATTTGTTTCTAATTTTGTTCAAATTCTGTAAGATATTGTGTATAGATTGACACGTGCTGATATCGTCGGATTGTTATATATTTTTTTTTATGACGCGTTTTATGAATTGATGATGGATGTGGTGGTGCAGGATAACGTTGAGCTTGAACGTCAATGGGATAGCTTTGATATACACTTCAGCCACTTTGGGGGCTGCTTCTGTTAATACCCTGCCAGCCATTACTTTCTTCTTGGCTCTTCTATTTGGGTAATTTAATTAATTAATTAATTAATTAATTAATTTATTACTTGATAATATATGCATTGTCTGGTGGATATATGTAGATGCTCTTTTAAGTTAATTAGCTAATATACTAAAGCTAAAGTTATAAACTTTATCTAAATTCGCTCGTCAATTCGAAGGATAATCTAGACTTCTTTAGCATTTTTTACTCTCTTCTATCATTAATTAATAATCTATAAGTCAAACAATAATCGATATCGATTCTTCTAATTTTATTGGATGTCTATGACGATGCCCTCAATTTTTTTTTGGTTCCTTCTCATTACACCATCTTCTCATTCCCCGTGTGGTAGCACATATTTGACGAAATGGTCAATTATATTGAATTGAGATTAGGTCGAGGGATTTGATGATGAGCATGCAGTGCGTACGTAAAGGATTGTTGATATTGCTGGATCACGTTCTTGTGTGATATCAACCGTCCAATAAATATGCATTATTGGATGATTAACATCACACAAATTTGTGATCCAACGGTGTTAATTAGCATGTTTGTTAAGTCGTTGCAATGGTTGCAACAATTTTGCCGTTGTTTTACATATATATGGATTAACATACAACCGTCATCGATCGCTTTTACATCGGAGTAAAAATTCAGGGTTTATAGAAACGATAACCAAAAGAAAAGTACATGCATCGGCAGAAATCATGATGGCATCATCATCGCCGGCGGCAATTTCAGGACGTGGATTTAATATGGGCGGTTTGGTTGGTATGGGAACTCTCTATAACATTATCATCATGTTTGCATTTATGTGACTTAAAGCTATAAATGTTATAGCGAGGGCGGTGCACCAAATTGGTTTCAAACCATAAGTAGTACAAATGTATGCGATGTGAATCGCTTATGAATTATTTCCGAATTTTCTTCCGTCGATGCACCTATGTAGAAAGAAAAAAAGTATTCGTGAACTTATAAGGACGATAAGTTCATTTGAAAATCCTTACGAATAATGTATTAAAACTCGTCTACAAATAGTATAAAGTATGATATGCATCGAGATATAGGGTATATCGATTTTGATCCACGTGATTGAAATACAAATTAAACGTCGTTCACATGATTTTCTTCTAGCTAGTTTCCATCCATTTTCTGACTTTCTCTTTCTCATGAAGGGTTAGAGTGTCCTCTTTCAATCAATCTTATTCATGTGGTCCTCAATTTTTCCCTCGACAGAAGGCAACAAAATCTTCTTCCTCTTCTCTCGTCTTTTACAATAAGGTGTTCCCAAAGCATTTAACTATCTGACTGCGAGTCTCTCTGAGTACGTTCGTTCTTATAAGTTGAGTTGTAACCATTTTAACAAAATTACATATAGATAACTTCATATATATAAATTATAAACGATATAACCAATCATAAATATGTTAATTAACTAGCTAATGACTATGTTCTAAACTAAGTTAGTTTTGTGTACTCTATACCCAACATAGAATGGAGACATTGAAGGTGAGGACAAAACCAGGGATGGCAAAGCTAGCTGGGATATTGATATGCATGGGAGGAGTGGTAGTTCTTGCTTTCTACAAAGGCCCCCATTTTAAGGTCTTGTCTCTCTTTAAACATGATGATGACCTCCATGGACATGACCTTAAACCACATCAAAACTCTACCTCTTCTCATAACACATGGGTCAAAGGTTGTTTCTTGATGCTCTTCTCCAACCTTAGCTGGGGCTTCTGGCTTGTCTTTCAGGTAGGTAACAACTAGCTATCTACCTTTCTATAGAATCACTATCTATATTTGTTTGTGGTAGGGACACGTGCAGCGTAATAGCTAGATTGGGTTTATATGAAGGGTACAAAATAGATATATATTTTTTTTGGTCAGACAAAATAGATAGATATATGACTTTCCTATAGCTCATCCATATTAATTTATACTCTGGCATAATCACGTTTAACTTAAGAATCCTGATGAGATTTAGTGCATTAGTGTTAATATGATCGCACACGTAATATAATTACGGGTCAAACATGATTGGACGATGAGAATTCACATGCTAGACAAATTGGGGTATCGTGGGTGATGGGTCACACCATAATGATTATGGTTAGGTTAGTTTGGGTCGGGTCGGGTAGGGTTTGTCTCGGGCTTAGTTGGGTGAAAAATTGCCAACTTTGGTTCATATGTTCATTGACATACCTTTTCCCCCTTCAAATTTTCATCTGGTGTTGTAGGCAATACTTCTGAAAAGCTACCCATCAAAGCTTCTCTTCACAGCTCTTCAATGCTTTCTAAGTTCGATTCAGTCCTTAGTGGTTGCAGTTGCCATTGAGAGAAATCCCCAGGAGTGGAAGCTTGGTTGGAATATGAGACTTGTGGCTGTCACTTATTGTGTAATCATGCATACCTAAACTCATAATTATTACAATATAACCACATTATTATGTCTTAATTTTCTAATTTGTGTTTCATGTAGTTGTTTTTCCCCCTTCATCTATGTAGGGAGTTGTGGTGACTGGAGTGACGTATTACTTGCAAGCATGGGTTCTGGAGAAGAAAGGTCCAGTCTTTCTTGCCATGTCGACTCCTTTGGCTTTGATCTTCACAATGTTGTTTTCTACACTACTAGGTGACTTCATCAACCTTGGAAGGTATATAGTTATACATCATCCTCTTTCCTTCTTTTCCCAACAATCCAAATTAGTAGGATGATCACGTCATCAATATAATATCAAAATATATATGTATTAACCGGAGTTGCGTTGATGGATGTCGATGATATGTGCTAATGCAACTTTCAAGTCTAGTCACACTAATTCTCATACAATTTATAATGGATTACCAAAGCATTGAATCCACCACCATTGACATAAGAATATTTGAGGATGATCAGGCTCTGACATAAGTTGATTACCTATAAAAAAATTGGAACATATTGAAATAAGTGCGTGTTTATATATAAATATAGCTTGTTATTGAGGCATAAATCGTAGAATCTTTACCAACTTATGACTCCAATTTAACATTGTCTGTTATTGTTTGGTGATGTGTTTCCATAGTGTATTGGGTGGAGTGTTGTTGGTTGGAGGACTTTACAGTGTTCTATGGGCAAAAGGCAAAGAAGAAAATATGATGATTGTTGAGAATAGTGACGAGAACATGAAGATTTCACAAGTGGAAAAGGAGAGCTTAGAGCTTAAACAAGTTGTTACAATCATTAACATCCCCGAACATCAAGCGCCACAAGCCAATGAGCCGAGTTGAATTTTGATGGGGAAGAAGATTTAACAAGCGGAAAGGAGAGCTTAGAGCTTAAACAAGTTGTTACAATCATTAGCATCCCCGAACATCAAGCGCCACAAGCCAATGAGCCGAGTTGAATTTTGATGGGAAAAATAACATTTTAACATCGTCTACAAGTCATGCTTCAAGGAAAAATAACATTTTAACATCGATCACTATGAAATTTGTAAAGGTACGGAGCTATAACAACATATGTTCACTTCACCTCTACTTTACCTTATGAACTAAGAGTAATGAATCCTTTTATCGAGTTAGAGTTTTGGGCTGCTTAGTCTACCTTTTGATATGTGCGATACTGCTGTTTAGTTTCGAGGGCTAGATTTGTTACGTTAGATTCATTTTGGCCCACACACTACGAAAGTTTTTATAGAAGCCCAAACTGAAGAATGTTTGGTTTGTCTTATATATTATGACCAATATATGCATTGTATCTATGAATTTGATCTATTGCACATTACAACATTTGATAAATGTAGTTGTGTTTTTAATAAGTAAAGAGAAAATCCACTTTTAACGAAAATGCAATTTGTCATCTTTTTGGAGGAGATAGCTAGAAAAAAAATTATATCAACTAAATTAAATCGTCACAACAGTTTCAGCTGAAATTGTACAATCATTCATTTTGAATGATTATTTCCGTCGCATCAACCAAACAATTGATGTATCTTGTAAGGAAAAAAGAAAAAGAAAAACAATGAAAGAAATATAAGAGTTGTAGCAATCTCATTAAAACAATCATAGAAATCGGGAAACAAAGACTTGGTCAAAATGATTACTTATGATTAGTTTGGATGAGTTATTTTTGCATATGTGAGTATTTTGGGATCAAATGATGCATAATTATTTTTATCCAGAGGTATTCCAAAAGTGAAATAGCATGATATGACAAAATATACAAGACCTTTGCATGTCAAATTGCAAATTAGAATTAAGAAAGAGTCGTTGGTCGACCAACCGACGATCCAACGATGATAGAGTATTTTTTGCCACGAGATAGATAACCCTATTACAATTAGGGTGCATTACTGTTAGATTTGATATTTATGAGTTATTTGGAGCTTATATCACGCGAGAATTTGTCCTGTTTGGTTAGAGGCTTAGAGCATTCACATAAGTAATTTGTTTTGTGATATTTCTTCACAAAAAGGGAGCGAGAAAGGGTTAATAAAATGAGTTATTTCAAATAACTACCCCTAAAGAGTTATGCAGTTAAACTCATTTTGAATTATTTCAATTAATTCGCATTCCAATTATCATATTTGATGTTTTCGTTGCCAAATGAGTTAATTTAGACTCAAATTTCTCATTGAAATAACCCTCCAAACAAGACTGCCTTTAAGTACTCCATTGGTATAGATTGGCGGCCTACCTTTTTCTATCCCCTTTCACTTTCAGGCCAATGACTAAAGTATGGATTAGCTTTGCTGTAATCGGCTAATCACAACAATTTTGGCAACATGTTTTTGTTCTCCGGCCATTGTCCTGGATTTTGACTTTTTCATATAGTTTAGCTTTGAGCTCTAGGCAGTTGTTAATTGGATATATTGTGACGATGAAAATAATTTTAATAGAATTGCTTTCTTTTAGTTTAGCCGCCGCCAACCGCATACACGATGAAATGTTGGTAGCTGACAACCAAGACATTTGACTTTTCTTTTCTAATACATGTATGACCATTGGATGGCGAAACTAGAAATTACGGTGAGGAAAATTAGAAATTAAATAGATCATTAAGATATTAGCGAGGGGTTCATAGTCCTTCATCCTACCAATTATCAATATTTGTTTTTACACATGATTAACTAATTAAAACCCATAAATAAATACTTAGAAGAGCGTATATGTTATAAACCAGTTGTTTCGTATAACTCAAGTTATTGGAACCAAACTATTTATGACATGACATCATAACTGGTTTGAACAAAGGCCAGTGTGTCCGAATCTCCACGATCTCCAATATTAACATTTGATTCAAGCACAAATGCACAATATATAATAAGTGCCTAGCACACTGAGCGGTGTCTCTGCAGCGCCTAGACGTATTAGCGAAAATAACAATTTTCAATATAGTATTAACAATTTTTCCCTTGAATTCAATTTCAAATGATTAATAACTAAACTAACCCTCAACAACCAGTAAAATATGTTATGATTTCCTAGAATCACAAGTTTATAGAAATTGTAGGTTGTGGATGGTCTGTAGTCGACAATGGTGAAGAGCATAAAGAGTCGATCGAGTCGAATATATAATAGTTGGTGATGGCGTCGTTTTGGAAAGATTAGCTACAAATTGTTTTAATCCTTGTTTTCTCAACACGCTTAAGAATACCTCACTTCAGTTAATCATGTCTCACGCCAAATTAATTATGCCTAGCTCCATCTAAGAAGGTACCTAGGCATTATGAACGCCTGATTGTCCGCCTACGATTTAGGAGAGACGTTTTGTCACTGCTTAGCGCTCAGGTTTGCCTAGGCGTACGAGAAATTATGTTTTCTTAACCCTGATTAGACCTATGCAAATTTCAAACTCGTAAATAACTTGAATTATTACAACCAAACATATATGATCTGGTTTCTTTACCTAGAATGAAGGAGAAGGCAATATGTAGTTTGGTTTTTAAATAACGTATTTTTCATAAATAGTGGAGTGTTTGGTTAATATAAAATATAACTAAAAATAAAAGAACAATGAAAATGAATCTTATTGGGTCTCTTTTATATTCAATGATAGTATTTTCCAATTATTTTAGTTTAACAGAACATAAATGAAACGAAAGTATTCTAAACAAGAATACATTTGCTAAATACAAGATTATCTTATAAAAAAAACACTTTTCCACTTTTTTCTTAATTAATTTTTTTTTATAAAGGTGTTTACTTTAACCCCGGCTTTATTCCTAAAACAAGAAAGCTCTTCTAAACACTGGCCTCAACCTACGACAAAAGGAATTTCCGACCGATCGATGAACAACACATAAATGCAATCGACGGAGCCTTCAACCGCTCGTCTTCTCAAATCCATCGACGATGAGGAAATTGCCTTGCCTCCACTTGAACCGGAAAAAAACAAAAACAAAACCTCGTCGACGACAAAGTTAATACTATAAATACAAAGATGCGCCGCAGTACGTCTGACTGTCCAATACAGTTATTATGCAAGTAAATATGGGTGGAGGAGAAGAAAGGGGAGGAGCTTCAAAGACGGCGTCGTTTTGGTCGTGGTGCAACGACGACACGAAGAAGGCGTACGGAGCCGTGGTATTAACACGGCTGATCTACGCCGGAATGTTCTTGGTCTCGAAGGCGGCGTTCGACGGCGGCTTGAACCCTGCCATTTTGGTGTTCTACCGGCAAGCCTTCGCCACCCTCATCCTTGCTCCTCTTGCCCTCTTCCTCGAATGGTGCATATAGACCTCTTCCCTTTTTACCTTCCTATTCATCCACTTTACGATTACTCAAGTTGTTTAAAGCGATCCAAAAACATATCGTTACATAGTGTATTTCAAACGAGAATCAACACATGTGTTTATCATATCTACACCTTCTCAAGAATCGGTTCACTCTAATTACTCAAATTGTTTGAAGCAACCCAAAAATATATCAATATTCTCGTAAATAGACTACTTCAAACGAAAATGAACACATACGGTCATGATATCTATACCTTGTGTTAACATCAACTGTTTATAACAGACCTAAACTCATCTATAAAACTTAAATCGTTGGAGAATGCCCAAGACATATAGTGCATGCATCTTATGATTTTTTCTTGTTTGGGTTTTGATGAACTACAGGAAGCATGCTCCACCGCTGTCGTTGCTCACCTTCTGCAAGATTTTCGTGCTTGCTCTCGTCGGGTAATTTTTATCAACTACTCAACTTAACCTACATAAACCTAATTAAGTTTTTTTACTGTTGAAACTAGACACGCGTGTGCATGTTCAAAAACCAACCGGTACCCATAATTCTAGTTGTTGAGATAATGTCATAACAAAGACTTATACATTATTCAATTTCTATACATGCTATCGGTGCATGGATCATAAAAGCGCGTAAGTCAATTCAGAGACTTGAAGTTTTGCATGCATGAGTACTAACATATACTATCGTACTATATATATGTGCAGGATAACATTGGCGTTGAACCTCAATGGCTTCGGCTTGCTTTACACCTCCGCCACCTTGGCCGCGGCTTCCATTAATTCCCTCCCCGTCGTGACTTTCTTCTTGGCCCTCCTCCTCCGGTAATGTATTATCGAAGAGCCTTTCACTTCAATTAGCTACGTACAATTGTATATATGGATTTACAAAGTGATATATGATCAATCTATGGAGACTCAGAGCTGAAACATTGAGGATTGGGAGCAAATCGGGCAAGGCAAAACTAGTAGGAATAGTGACGTGCATGGTTGGAGTGACATCTCTAGCTTTCTATGAAGGCCCCCATTTCAAGATCTTATGCCTCTTTGATCATTCTCATCATGGGCAAAATCAACACCTTCGATCTCATGAAACATGGATCAAAGGTTGTTCCTTGATGGTCTCATCTAGCTTCACTTGGGGGGTTTGGCTTGTTTTTCAGGTACCCATATATAATATTCCAAACTTTTTTAGTGTGTGTATATATATGTTGTTAAAGTCGGTGGTGGAGTTGCGTGTAGAGACAGTACTAAGTCGCAAATGTTCGATTTTAGGTTGTGCAATGTAAATCATATGGTAAACCGACATTGAAAATTGTCAGGTCGGTATGATATGATTAGGTCGTCATCATCGATCCAAGATGACTAAGATTTAGGGGTCGTTTTACTTGTTGGATCTGGGTGATGAATTTGCTACCAAAATCTCAAGTATGATGGATTTAAAAAACTCCATTATTTGTTGAGTCAAAAAATTGGAAGCTAACCTCAAGGGGTTATCCTAGTTGTAATGTGACTATATGTGAGGATGAAAAACCTCCATCACACCCTGGGTTCGAACTATGAGACGAGCAACTAAAGAAAAACAAATGGAAAGCCGATTCGTGGGGCCTACAGATTTGGACCTTTTAGATTCAAATCCATGGACTTCACGAATTAGTAAATGTAAATCTTCAATTTGTATTTGAGTTTTGACTGAGGGAAGGCAAATCTTTGGTACACACTCTACAAAAAGTTATAAATCTAGCTATGATAAAAAGAATTAACTACACAAAAAAATAGACTCTTTCAAATTTATCCATGAAGCAAATCTATCATAAATCTAAAGATTTTCAAAACTCAAAACCCTCATTTTCAATATACTACCGTGGTTATTCGTTTATACTCCATCTCACTTTAAATTCTGACTTTCCCACCGACTAAAACAACTACGTACGAGCAATATGAAGTAACTTTTGAGTAGTATTACTGTACGATATTGTCCGCTTTTGGCCAAACTCGCACGATTTTAATTTTGAATTTTCTCCCAAAAGGCCTCATACTAATGAGTTTGGTGAACACTAATATACAAGGGTTCCTTGCCTTGTATTTCTGATATGGTATGGACACTTAGATACAAGGGCGGAGCCAGGATTTCGAGACCGGGTGGGCTGAAAATAATTAAATATAAATAAAACTAAAATAAATATTTTAAAAGTACACAACGTTCTTTGAGATAATTATTCAAAATAACATCTAAAACTAAAAATTTTAGCTATCTTTCATTTAATATAAATAACTAAATCATTAATGAGAAACTCATCATTTTAATTTCTTTGACAATCATATCTCTGTTAATCCTTGGATCATATAGTTTCTATAAAGGAGAATTATCAGAATTTTAATTAGAAAAATCACCAAGTGAAAATTAAATAGAGGTTGACTTTTTCATATGAAGTTGGGTTAAAATAATAAAAGAACAAAAAAGGAGTGGCTAAAGCAAAATGTGAGGTAGCTGTGAAAGTAATAAAAGAACAAAAAAGGAGTGGCTAAAGCAAAATGTGAGGTAGTTGTGAAAGTAATAAAAGAACAAAAAAAGGAGTGGCTAAAGCAAAATGTGAGGTAGTTGTGAATCGAACCTCTGTGCTTCTTAATAAAAATCAAACTTATCTACCAATAGACTACATCATTATCACATGACACATTGTACAGTCGAATTGTACTTGTGAAAATTTTATCTGAGTATCCTTAGGGTCCTAAGGGCCGAAACTAATCCCGGGTGGGCCGGAGCCCACCCTATACTCTATGTAGCTCCGCCCCTGCTTATATACATAGGTTCTTTCCCTTGTATTTCTGATGTAGTAATTGGATTGTCCCATAACAATTGATTCTACTCATATAAATTTCTCAACCAGCTTACATTCTGTTTTTTTTATAGGCAAGACTTCAAAAGAGTTATCCACCAAAGCTTCTGTTCACGGCTCTTCAATGTGCACTGGCTTCAATTCAGTCATTTGTTGTTGCAATCATTATTGAAAGAGATCCTAATGAGTGGAAACTTGGCTGGGACATGAAACTAGTAGCCGTAGTTTATTGTGTACGTAATTATTGGTATAATTTTCATGTTCATCAATTAATAAATAGTGATTAACTAGTTTGATGTGAATGTGTATACTTAGGGAGTTGTGGTGACTGGAGTAACCTATTATTTGCAAGCATGGGTTCTAGAGAAGAAAGGTCCAGTCTTTCTAGCCATGTCCACTCCTTTGGCTTTCATCTTCACAATGATATGCTCTGCGATTTTGTGCGACTTCATCGACCTTGGAAGGTACTTAGCTAACCATCATATTTAATTTCTTAATCATAGTTTAATAATTATAGTTCTTTAAGTAAACCTAATTTTGTTTGTTTGTTTTGTGGCTTTGATGATGTTTGTATATATATAGTATTTTGGGGGGAGTGTTGTTGGCTGGAGGGCTTTATAGTGTTTTATGGGCAAAAGTCAAAGAAGAGGAGATAATTAAGACGGAGATCAATGAGAAGAAGATTATCCCAAAACTGGAAGAACAAGACGGCTCATTGGAGCTTAAACGAGTTGTTACAATTGCCACTCATAATCAAGCCAATGATACTGCCAAAGTCAATGCTTAAGTTATTCCTTTAATAGAAGAAATAAATTTAGAGTTATCGATCTCGCTAAGTCGTGAACTAGCTCACTCTTTTTCAAACCTATTCACATCGCCAAACACATTCCATCACTCAATTGAAAACAAAAGTTACTCATCTCTCTATTGAAAACGGTTGTGGTCTTTTAAGTAAGACTAGAATCAATACCTAGCCGCGAGAACTAAACAACTCCTAAACAACTTGTTGCAGTATGATTGAAAGAGTTAAACTTGTCAAATCCAAATAAGCAAACTCCACTTAGTTAACTTAAGTAAAATATGTCATCAAGTACCATTACAACATAGTGTATAAGAAAACACAATATATGAATAAATGTCTCGACATCATTAAATATGAGGTAGAGTCTTAATGAGTCTCAAGTCTAAAGGCAAGTGGATTCCATACGATGATGACTAAAATACGGAATTGTCAATCTTTGTGTCTTGTCCAGTTCAATTTTGACGGTAAACTTCTTTCCCATGACAGAGTTGAGGTAGCGTAGCGACATTGTTGTTGAAGAGGAGAATGCATGAGATTGAGATGTCATCACTTTCGATATCGATATGAAACCTGTACATAATTTGGTGGAAATGTTGTAAGCTTTTGCATTGCTGGTTTGTATAGTATCGTTATAATATGTACATGGAAATGTTTGAGTTGTGATCAGAAGCACAGTGATGCAACCAGTGAACATGTAACTCAAAGGAAGGTTAGTGTAGGCAATAGTGACAAAGGAATTTACAGGTTGACGGGCAACACAGAAGGTGAGATGGTTTTGGCCAGAGCTGAAGCAAGCGATGGTTTCTGATGCAAGTTGTTGTTCCCAATCCAGTGGAAGCAGAGCCGTTATAGTCACTAAGTTAATCAGTGCAAGAAAATAAGAGTACAATAAAAACACCAAACTGATTATGCTGAGTGCGGTGCCAACAAAATCTGGACAAAAAGGAAGGCAAGAAGAAACATACCATGGTAGAAGTTGATGAGAGTCTATACTGGTAGCATCAATAGTTTTCTCCCTATTCTTGTTACTTAATGGTGTACCTGCCATGCTGATCTCTGCTAGTGGAGCATTCAAACTGCATAAAAGTAGAGGTTCAGAATTCACCATAACAAATGCGTGGCTGACAAATGAATCATCAAAGTCACATGCAGGTGAGAAAGGAACACTGGTGAGGTCAGAATTATACTATTCATTGAAGTTTCTAAGCACAACTGATGAACTAAATTCGAGTTATGATTAACCAAGTGAAGCACAGAAGAGGAAAATGACAAAAACAACACCAGCAAAGTCTTCTTGCAGCGGCTGTTGATTAAATTGGCAACAAGGGTTACCCTCGAAATGTGGAAGGTAGGTAAAAAGGATAATTAGCATGCGAGCGAACCCATACAACTGAGTTTGCATCAACAACTTATAATGAAGCCACTGAAGGTCCAATGAAGTTGTTATAATGATTATGGTAAGAGAATAAAATTTTCAGGATATGGGGTATGCCAGTTAGCAGTAATTCGCTTCTCCACTAACTTCCTTTAGCCTACCATTGGTGACTAACTTCGTCTTCAGCTACTATCTCCGCAGTCCGTATGGGCTTGAGCCTGTGGAACTGTTGGTGACATTGCAATGTGAGTTGCAGAAGCATATGCGTTCGATGCATGTGAATTCCATGCAAACAAAGCATTGAGGGTAAGGAAAAGAGTAGGCAAAACCAGGGTAGAAAACATTCATCAAACTTGAAGGTGGCCATGAATGTAAGTCACTCTAAACTGCAAACCCACAACTACTACAACTACTACAACTTCTACGGAACAATCAGCAGCAAACCCATACAAACAGTCGAAGAGAAGCAGTTCAAGTATAACCATCAAAGTGTTTTACGGAAACACCCGTACGAATCCTACTTAGCATGATTGATACACGTAAAACAGAGAACCGGCAGAAACAAAACAGAAAGGCAACTTACCATTCATTTTTTACGATTACAGTCTCCTTCTTGATGGAACATTTCTTTTTTATGGAAATAGTTGAGAACAGGGACCTAAAGCAGCGAGAACTAAAGCTCATGGGATGGTTTCTTCTTTTACAATCAATGTACATCAACCTGTGAAAGCAGATGATGGTAAATATAATTAGTATCATGTGGAGGATGAAAAGTCCAGAGATGAGAGGGGAAGGAAACAAACTTGGGAATCACAATCAATGAAAGGTTCTAAAACTTTGAGCAACGAAGTTAAATGGCATAATGTGTTGAAGCTGCCAAGTTAAATGGAACTTGCAGAAGCAGCATCACAACAGCAGGCAAAAAAGTGCAGCAGCACAAAAAAATAGAAATAAAAACTTGAAACCGAAGGATTCTGACAGTAAAAAACACTGCTTCCTAAACATGAATGTGAAATCAAGCAGTATGTTTGTGTAACTCGAAATTTTGAGCCCTTGGTAGCAATTCTTTTGTGCTAACAATAAAATAATTTCTTGACCCATCATAAACACAAACAAAGGGAGATTAGAAAGCAAAACATAAATTCAATTGCTCTTCTCCGAACCAAAGCGAACAGGAACAAATTGAGAATTTCAGAACAACAAAGAGGAACAGATTGAAGAACAAAACAGAAATATTAAATTGATTTTCAGTAGTAACTCAGATTAGGTTGGTTTCAGTCTCAAGTGGCAATTTCGTCACCTTCTTGCCATCTCTCACCTTATCTCTTGTTAGCATTGCCCATCTGGTAATCCCACAGTATCAGATTCTTAGCTCTACCCCTCTTAAAGATCAAAACTTGTAAGTGCTTTCAGTCAGAAATGTATGTTCTAAAGTCCTCCTAGCTCTTTACTCTTTGGTTTTTGCTTATCCCAGAAAATCCTTCCTAACCTGAAGATGGTCTGGCATTGATGGTGAATGGGACCTTGTTTTTGCTGCTGCTCCATGGTTAGCATGTGCCTGCAACAGTAAAATCAAGTGAAGTGAGAAGCAAGTTCATTTTTTGGGGTTGCGGTAGGAGGAAGATCAACCGGTGAACAAAAGAGAAAATAGAGCTCACCACATCGGCGGTTCCACCAATTGGCACCCATTCCTCCTGCTTGTCCATCATCACCACCATCGTCAGTTTCCGTTGTTCCTACCCATGGATAGGGCTCGAGTATGAACTCGACGAAACCATGTCATCGGAATCTTAATTGCTACCGCCGTATTCTGCAGCAAGAGTCCAAAATCTAGAAGGTGAATTTCAAATATCAACAAAGAAGACTGAGAAATAAGAGCTCACCGTCACAGGCGATTTTCCACCGCCGTTGGTCCTCCTGTCTCAAATCGATTTCGTCTTCCTCCGCTTCCGGGTTCGGATTGCACGGCTACCAACAGCGAGGAAACTTTTAGGGTTTCGTTGGAAGAGAGAAGAAGGGGATTATGGAGGGGGAAAGAGGGGGAACCATTTGTCTCCCACCAAGTACAATCGTAGCAAACTTGTGGGGAAAGAACAACACTGTAGAAGCAGAAGAAAGACATGGTTACGGGAAAGGCAAATCGGAGTGACGAACTGACGGGAAGCGTGCCCTTCCAGATTTTCGACTCCAAAAGTATAGACATGGGCTTGATGTACGGAAAGCATGGTAGAGTGGACAGGGAAGGGGAAGGTTTCATCTGTCGAGGCTGGTAGGCGGTAGCGATTCCGAAAGTAAGAGCTCGTCGCTGCAAGGTGAAGTTAGAAGAGGTTGCTGAGAGGGTGTACACAGAAAACGACAAAATAATCTACAGTAACCAGCGTTTTTGGCCAATAAAGCGTACCTACCTTTTATGTTTTAAAGAATTTCCTTTGTTCCCTTCTTTTGGGCCTTCCTTACTACGATTCATGGTGGAGAATGCACAAGTGGATGAGTCTTATGTTATCATTTTCATTTGGGATTGTCTTAAACCCTCTTGAATGAGCCATGTCTAAAAAAGTCCATGTACGACGACCCTGATAGGGACAAGAGAGTCTAGGTCCTTTTTTTCTTCTTTTCTCCTTTAGGTCCATGGCTGATATCGAGTGAAGAGTTTAGAGTTCAGCCTTTCTCCCTGGCTCACTTTGTCCAACTCAAAACCCATGTCCAAGGGCAAACCCAAATTGTTGGGGAACAAGAGTGATTCTAGTCATTTGGAGACTTAAATCAGTTGGATTTTCCCCCAATTGGCACCATTTTTCTCAATTCTTTCACCTTTTAGAACGGTTTCTTCAACTGACTTGATTATTTGAGGAAAATGAACTATTACACCTGAATCAACTTATTTCGGGTCTCGTAACACCTTCACAGAGCGAATAAAGTTTGAATTAATTAAGTTCACGATTCTAGATCATAAGTACTGCATCTCCAATAAATCCATTCCTTAAGCCAAATGTTTCTTTACATGGTATTAGAATCTTGTTGATCGAGATGACACATTTTCAAAACATCCAACATTAAAAGTTGATTTAAGCACATGGATGGTTGCACTTCGTAAACTTCAAACCGTTTCTCTTAAGGCTAGCTAGTGGTACTAGTAGAATTTCATCTAAGGTGGGGAGGGGCCGGGAGACTGTAATGTTATAAGATTAACGCGTAAGCAAGTGATCTTAATCGCTCCAATTATTACGATGAACTAGTACTTCATACCATTAATAACGACCTTGATATCATATTAATTAAGAATCAGTACACTGAACCGATAATATAAACATCATATAGGATTCTCTTACAAATGCGTACTGGTCACTCAAAATATTGAAAGATTGAGATTGGCAAAGCAACCATGAAAATTGAAATGTTGCTGGCATGACCCCAAATTTCATTGACATCTTTAGAGACTGCTCCTGATCAGCATGCTCTATATTTGTGATGCATTATAGTCCACCATGGATGCATAATGGTTGGCTTTAAGGAAAGCACAGAAGAAAAAAGCAATAGGAAACATATTTCAGACGGTGGTTGAATAATGAGTCGTTACTTAATCAGCATATCATCGGGATCGGTTAGCATGTTAACCCTTCTAGGGTTGGAAAAATGACATCTCTATTAATTATAGCTATTTTCTATATTAAATTCGTGTTGCATTTATTAATTTTTGAAAATTAACAACTCATCTTAATTACATTTCTTTTTTTAACTATCATTGTATTGATACAACTACCATTGCACCTGTATACTGAACTCATATTAATTACGTTCCTTTTTTGTCCTTAGCCCCCTTAGTCACATGACTAAGTGAATCTTAACTCTTCCACCTCATTAAAATCCAATGGTTTAGATTAATTCAATTTAAAGAAGGACATGATAATAATTGCTATTTTAGATTAATCTCAGTCCTTCTCCTATACGATTTTATCCTCTAATCGAGCATAAAAAATATTTGTATTTGGCATGCTATTTTATGGTTTCTCTTAACCCGTGTTATTAAGACCGAGCCGACCGGCCGGACCGCTAAAGCCGCCACCCGGCCGCAAAACCTACTCGGACCAGTCATTTAACCGCTACGATTTTATAGAGCGGCCGACGAGCGGTCGAGGCGGTTAACCGCTCGAGCCGGTCGCCCGGTTTTTCCCTCTTCCGGCCATTCTGTTTACTAAAAAAAAATTAAAAATTAAAAAATTAAAAATCGAAATTTGAAAACGGAAATCAAAGTTGTGGGGTTGGGAAAACAACTCTAACTCTAATTTATTCTTCATCTTCGTCTTCGACTCGTGAACAGAGAGAGAAGAGCGGCGACAAACCCTGTCGCCGTCAACACTCCCTGCCCCGACGTCGGCGCTTCCCGTCGGCATCGTCGCCATCCCCAGTCAGGCGTCAACGTAGCAGCTCGCCATCGCATAGCCATCGTCATTGCCAGTCCTCGTCCCCGTCCCCTCTTCTCGTAGCAAGAAGCTCCGACGCTCCGACGCTTCCCGTTGCCATCTTCGTCATCCCCAGTTCCTGAAGTCGTTTCCCCGCTCCCCGCTCGCCATCCCTAGTCCCCTCTTCCCGTAACTGCTCCGCTGCTCCTCTTATAGCCATCGCCAGAGGAGAGAATCCAAGCACTGCCCTGCTCCGCCCGTCTCACCTCATCAACATCTCCACCAGCCACTACCCTGCTCCGCCCCTCTCACCTCCGCAGTCCCAGCACCTCCCACCGGTGGTCTCACATCCTGGTCGACAGAGGTAAGATAATTTTCTAATTGGTTGATTGTGGTTCATTTTAATTTAAATATTTGGTTTGCATTATTTTGATTTCAATGTTTATTTGCATTTGTGTGGTAGAGAAAATCATGGTTTACCATGATTAATAAGTGTCCACTATTTATATGGATTATTTATTAGGTACCGGTTTTCTAACGGTTTAATGTCGGTTGGACCATTAAAGACCGAACCATTCACATTATCGGGTCATACTCCGATTTGCTTTTGACAACATTGCTCTTAAAACTCCTAATCTCAGAACCACGATGCATCATGAGCAAAGAATGTTCATAACTGCAGTCTTCTAAGTATTCTATGTTTTCGATTTTTCTAGCAGTATTCTCCTAACACACTTCCTCTTCATTGAGGAAAATAAAAACATATGTAGGCTTTCGTTTCATTTGGTCTCTTACGAGGTCATCGATTGAGAAAGTTAATAGATCCTAACTCGATAAATTATTTTCGTATGTATGTTCGCAGTGCTCGCCCGTCTCTATTTGTATTCCATGAAAATAATGTCTTTATTGTACTTTTTAATGTAACTTCTCGACTTGAGAATGATGATAGATATTCTACTAGAGAGCCTTTATCTTCAGACAGCGGCGGATCTAGGGGGGTCACCCCAGGCCACTGCCCAACCCTCCCTCGATCCGGAGCTAGTATAGTACTTGTAAATTTTCGATTTTTGGTGTTTGTTTCAGTGTTCGTCGTGTTATGGCCCAGTCCTCTCCGTCTTTTTTTCAATGTGGCCCAGTGCTCTACTCGATGCTGGATCCGCCGCTGTCTTCAGAACGTTTTGGTGGAGTCTTCACCAATTAATATCTCATCCTCTTTTCAAGGGACATTTTTATTATCTTTGTTGTGGTATATGTTCTCCGGACATGCTTATCAGTTCTCAAACATTGATGCATCCTAATGTAAGAAATAAGTGCCTGCCTTTGCCCCCCCCCCCCCCCTAATTATTTGAACCCAACAACTCACTCAATTACACAAAGTAACATATAATTAAAAGTCGGTCACAAATTAAAAATGGCCACAAGAACGATCGAAAACTCATCTACAGCTGCAGCGATAGAGCCAGAAAATTGGTCAAGGATGTGTTTATCTTCATAGCATAAGAAAATCAATCACATAATAAAAAAGTCAAGTTTTAAACAAAATGAAAAGTCAAGAATACAATACACAAGATTCATAAAATTATATAATTATAGTTTGACGAGCACCACTTACTACGAACAACAATGAGATTTAATATGCTGAAACATTGTAGTACATATTCCTTGTCCAAACTAGCACATAAATCTTGTCTTATATGGGACTCATCATAAATTCATTCTTTTAAGATAGTTTTTTTAAATATATTTCATGGATGAAATTGTCTCTTCACACTTGTTGTGGCAATAGGTAGAATAAATGTTAATAGTATGAGCAGAGGAAAAACCAATTGTTAGGAAATTTTGATGAGAGCGACAATAATAATTTGAGTTTGATCAAAATAACGAGTGGATAAACTCGGTCGTGACAAGCTTATTACGAGAAAGAGACTCTAAGTGGCCTTAAGTTCCATTTCAAATATTGCAACCTATAATTGACTTATAATATAAAACAAAAAAACTTAGCTCACAGTTCACTCAAGAAACGGTACAAAACAAAGCAGAGCATGTCGATAATTTTTTTTGCCCCTCCTCCAAGGGCATGCAAACACCCCCCAATATGAGTTACAATATATATGAGACAATCTAAACATTTTTTAGTTTGGGCTTATGAAACATATGTCACGTTTGACTCTGTTTGTTGCTTCGGCTCATCAATACTCAACTCGACTCCTGGATTTGTGACACTTCATGATCGGGGATGCTAACGATTGTATCAACTTCTCTAAGCTCTAAGCCCTCCTTACTATTCTCAGCAATCATCTTCTCTACCTTTCGCCAACAGAACACAGTAAAGACCAGACCACCAACCAAAAGCACTCCACCCAGTACACTATTGGAACACACATCACCAAACAAAAAATAATGTTACGATAAGTGAGAAAATCAACAGACTAACTCGAATTGTTGAGAAAAGAAGATATACATGTACCTTCCGACATTGATGAAATCGCCCAATAGTGCAGAAATCACCATGGTGAAGATCAACGCCAGAGGGGTGGACATGGCTAGAAACACCGGGCCTTTCTTCTCTAGAAACCAGACTTGCAAGTAGTATGTTAATCCATTCACCACAACTCCCTACATAAGGAGAAAAAGAATACATCAAACACAATTTGGAAAGTTGGTTAATAATTAATGAGTTTAGTTATATGATTACACAGTAGATCACAGGTAGAAGCCTCATGTTCCACCCAAGCCTCCACTCATGGGGATCTCTCTCGAAGGCAATAGCAACCACCAAGGATTGGATGGCACTCAGAAAGCACTGCAAAGCAGTGAAGAGGAGCTTCGATGTGTAGGATTTCAGCAGTATCACCTGCAAACACCAAATGAAAATTAGAATAAAGGAATGTCACTGGGGTATATGAACCAAAGTTAGCCATTTTCACCGATCACCCATATGGCATTTAATTATCAGATTGTGCGCCTTTGTAAGCACGTTCTTACATATTGGGTTGTGATCATTTTCTCAAAATTCCACATAGATAGCTTCCTACATATAAAAGTAGAAACAATTTATATAACTAATCATAAACATGTTATATAACTAATCATAAACATGTTATATAACTAGCTAATGATCACTTTGTTCTAAACTAAATTATCTAAGTTTGTTTTGTGTGCTCTATATGTATACCCACACAGAATGGATACATTGGAGGTGAGGACAAAACTAGGGATGGCAAAACTAGCTAGGATAGTCATATGCATGGGTGGAGGGGTAGTTTTTGTTTTCTACAAAGGCCCCCATTGTAAGGTCTTGTCTCTCTTTAAACATGACGACCTCCATGGACATGACCTTGGGTCTTAACAACACTCTAGCTCCTCTCACAATAAAACATGGGTCAAAGGGTGTTTTCTGATGCTCTTCTCCAACCTCAGCTGGGGCGTTTGGCTTGTTTTTCAAGTACTAGCTAGCTTTCTATACCTTTATGTAGAATCACTAGCTATGTTTGTTTGATCAAGGTTTTTTTTGGTGGCAGGGACTTTTCAATAGCTCATTCATGTTAATGCTACTCTCACCTAATTATGTTTGACTTCAAAATTCTAATGAGATATGGTGCATTAGTACTGCTTTGATCGCATTCATAATATAATTACAGCTTAAACGTGGTTGAACGATGAAAATTCACATGCTAGACAAATCGGGTTATGGTGGGTTGTGATGGGCCAGACAATAACGGATATGGTTATGTTAGATTTGGGTCGGGTAGGGTTTGTGCCCAGCTAAATTGGGTGAAACATTTCCAACTTTGGTTCTTGTCCATTGACAAACCTTTGGTTTCAATTTTGATTTGGTGTTGTAAGCAATACTTCTGAAAAGCTACCCATCAAAGCTTCTCTTCACAGCTCTTTAATGCTTTCTGAGTTTGATTCAGTCCTTAGTGGTTGCTGTTGCCATTGAGAGAAATCCCTAGGAGTGGAAGCTTGGTTGGAATATGAGACTTGTGGCTGTCACTTATAGTGTAATCATACCTAAATTCATAATTATTACCACATAAATCTTAATTTTCCACTTTGTGTTTGATGTATTTGTTTGTTTAATCTTTAGGGAGTTGGGGTGACTAGGGGACCTATTACTTGCAAGCATGGGTTTTGGAGAAGAAAGGTCTAGTCTTTCTAGCCATGTATACTTCTTTGGCTTTGATCTTCACAATGTTGTTTTCTACACTACTAAATGACTTCATCAACCTCGAAAGGTATATGTACCTTCTTTTCAAAGCAATTCAAGTTAGTTGGATGAATTACATACGTCTTAGATGTAATATCAAAATCTCTATATAATAAGTGGAGTTATGTTGATCCCTGACTCGCACGAGACTACACCACAATAAAATCCCAACTAGAGCCCAAGTTTTTAAACTCTAATCGGGTGCAGTATAGGGCAAGTATTTAGATATCGACCCGGGCCGGGCCGGTCCGTCTATCCCTACTTCAGTTGTTGAAATCATTATCTATCAACAAAACTTTGGTTTAAAGATTTGCTACTTGAAATGAAAGAAAGCAAAGGTAAATGGTTTTGATAACTCTTTGGTGGAAAGATCACTCGGGTGTCGCCCCCCCCCCCCCCAACTGCTACCATGCCATGTGGATTGGAACGATTGCTCTAGGCACGATAATTAGGGGTGGGATTCGGTCGGTAAACGATAAATTGTTTACCGAATTTACCGGTTTCGGTATACCGAAGTTGGTCAAATTGGTTACCGATACCGGTTTGTAACCTGTTTACCGATTACCGAATTACCGGTAAACGGTTACAAACCGGTATTATCGAAATACCGCGAGAAGCGATTTCGGGCGGTTTTTCCGTCGGCCTACCGAACCGAATTTCTGGAAGTGGGCTGATGTTGTAATATTTTGATTTTTTTGAGTTTTTTTCATCATTTTTGTAATTAATAATTTATTATTAACTCTTATTTACAATATTTTTGAGGCCTATACTTACTTACATTCATGTATGTAATATTTTATATTTGTGAATAATGATGTATATGTTATATGTTAGTGGAGTAGGGAGGGGGAATTTCGGTATCGGTATTACCGATTTACCGTCGGTATTTACCGATACCGTGTCCGGTAAACCGACTCCCCCAACTTCCTGCTCGGCTGCCGATACCGCCGGTTACCGGTTCGGTAAAACGGTAAACCATTTACCGGATTACTGTTTACCACCCCTAACGATAATCGTGAACCGCATAGGGATGCATATATGGTCGGAGACCACAATCTCAATTGATAAACCGAGGTAAGCATGAAAGGCAGTATCACTCGACCCTCTCGGTTTAGACAACCGGTAATTGACTTACTCCCTCACTCAACTCTAAGGTCGGCGGCTTGATCGCGATTAACCGACTTGCTTAACTCAATATCGAGGTTTGCCCTAACTTAACCTAGTTTAGGTGGCTTAGAAAGCGGAAGGAAAACCAACTCGATTGAGTCTCCCTTGGGAGAGGATTTTCCTCTCTAAGCTAGGCTAAGGTGGCTAATTAGATTGCTAGCACCTACATGCAAAAACCTAAGGGTGCTAAGCACGAAACATGCACAACCCCTAAGTTGCTAAGCATAAGCATGCGCAATCATGATAAATGATGCCTCAATCATTAAATTAACAATACCCAATGACAATCATCCAATACACATAAAAGAAAACTACATATTAGAGTTAGAGTTTCACAACACCCAAGTGAAAGGAGGTCTACTCCATGCTAGAAGTGGGAAAACAAAAGGGAAAGAGATGGAAACCATCTTGGAGGATGCTGCCAGTCTTCTTGGCCCTTGAGTTGAGCTTTCCTTGGAGGAAATCTTCCCAAAATATGCCTTGAAGCTAAACCCTAGCCTTCTTCTCCCCTTGGTTCGTGTTTCTCTCTCTAGAATGTAGAAGAAGGCTTTTCACACCAAAATGGGATCTCCCCTCTCTCCTCCTTTCAACTCATCTTTTAAATCAGAGATGAGCTGAGTTCACGGCTGTGAACCATGAAACGCGTCAGTGAACTGCAGGCGTGCGCCAAAACGCGCTGCATCGTTCACTCGAGTTCACAGTCAACTGCCTTTGTTCACGGTCTTAGAGACCGTGAACTCACCTTGCATAAGTAACCTTCACTTTGGCTCTGGACGCCTCGCGATTCACGATCAACTCCTCTTCTTCACGGTCATGCAAGACCGTGAACTCCCTATGTTAGCCGTGAACTGGCTCTTTTTCACATCTTCTCCCGGTTTTCGATCCTTTTCGCCAATCTTTCGACTCCGAGACTGGTTTCACCTGCTAAATCCTGAAACACACTCAAACACTAAGAACCTAGCGTAGAACCAACCTTTAAGGAGTGAATTTGGCACAAACACCTAAGTAAAACGGGGGCAAAACATGTGCAATTAGCCCGAATCAATCCCCCAGCTTGGAATATAATAATTTAAGAGGATATCATGCTAACATACGATTAATCACCTATAAGAAACATAAAGAGATTGAATACATATGTGCATTTATATATAACTATGGCCAGTTATTGAGGCGTAAACCGTAGAATCTTACCAACTCATGAATCTAATTTGAGATTGTTCTTGTTTCATGATGTATGTGCTTCTATAGTGTATTGGGTGGATTGTTGTTGGTTGGAGGACTTTACAGTGTTCTATGGGAAAAAAAAAGGCAAAGATGATGATGGTTGCTGAGAATATTGATGAGAATATGAAGATTGCACAAGTGGAAAAAGAGAGCTTAGAGCTTAAACAAATCGTTACAACTTACAATCATTAGCATCCCTCATCCTCAAATGCCACAAACCAATGAGTTGACTTAAGTTTTGATGGGGAAATTGACATCATAATATCATCTACAAGTCTTGCATGAAAGGAAAATGAGAAAGTTTCTTTTAAAAATGGGGTGGAAAACCATCTCATCCATTGTAAGATCTCGTGTTAACATCCATACCGATCAACTAGGGGCGGAGCAACAAATTGGTCAAAAAAGAACCAGATTTTGTTGTAGTCGGGGGGGGGGGGGGTTGAAAAAGAGAAGTTAGAGCGATTTATATTAGGGGTGGAAATTGGGGTGGGTGTGGTTACCCGCCCCACATTTTGCGGGTAACCACACCCACAAAATAGAATTATGCTACCCACAACCCGCCCCGCAGTGGGTAGTGGTTAAGCACTATCCGCTGCGGGTTGGTGCGGGTTGGTTGTGGATACCCATAAAAATTTCACATTAAATATAATAATATGGTAATTAAATAGTGATGTTGTGTTTTTTCTCACACAAAAACATACATAAAAGAAAGTTAATAAAGTGTTAAATAAATTATAAATCTCGAATACAATAGGTTAGTTAGTGTAAATTCAGAAGAGATGGATTTGGAAAGAGATTTGAAGATAACGGAGATGCGGAGTGACTTGTTATCAAACAAACATCATTGCATGTCACGGCTCCTCCGATGGTAACAACAGCAAAACACAAAAGTAGCTCGATAAGTGGAGGCGTCCGGTTTTAATGAATCGATTATTCTCCACTCTGGACTATAGTATTGTATCATGGAGAAACGGAGATGAGTTTGGGTATCAGACTAACCTTTATCGATTATTCCCCTCTTTTAACGTATCGATTAATTTATCTGACTATATCTATGGACTTGGTTTTGTTATAAAATAAACATATACGACATGGACAATGCTTATTTGATAAATGTATCTCACATGAACATTGCGTATTGACTTGGGTTTGTTTATAGAATAAGTGTGTATTTGATTTTGGTAACTACTTTAATTCTTAGTCTTCCAAGTTTCCCAAACTAATATAACTAATGTGGGTTACAAAGTATTTTGAAGAAATAAATATAACTAATGTGGTTAGTGTGGATTTTGTGGGTAAACCACTGTGGGTAGTGGTTAACCACTAACCACAAAAATCAATATTTTACTATCTACACCCAACCCACTATCCACAAATTGTGGGTATGGGTATCCACAAAGTGTGCGGTGTGGTGCGGTTTGCGGGTTCCACCCCAAATTTATATCATATGAACTGGAGCAGTTTCATAAAAATTAATTAATAACATATTTTTTATAGTGCATATTACAAGAATGCACAATAAAAAAGTTGTATGTTTGAATCCTTCGATGTGTTCTATAGACGAGTCTTGTGAGGAAATATTAGTGATGACTATCTAATCGTTGGTAGTACTCAATATTTCTAATGACTTGATGTCTTGTCAATAATATGATCTTTTCTGACAACATATCCCCGACGATTTTGTTCACTGTCAATAATTTTAGTTTTTCTGACCATAAATTGGTCTTCGTCAATATTACCGACACAAAAAATGTAGTCGTAAAAAATAACTACCATTTGGAATTGCACCCTTAAAATTGGCCATTACTGATGGAAAGTCTTACAATTACTGACGAGATTTTTATGTGGTCAGTAAAAAGGAGGAATATTACTGACGACACATGTTTTTCCGTCAGAAAATAGAATTTTTATGACGAGAATTTATTAACGCCGGAAAGTTCTCGTCGGGACTGTCTGTCTTCTTTGTAGTGCAACAAAAGATAGAAGCAAAACAATAAAGCTTTTCATTATGGGAGGAGCTTCAACGACGACGAAGTATGATGTATTAGAGTATGAGTACTAATAGGTAAGTTATTTTGTGTATTATTATTGTAACAATATACAGTTTACATATCATGACTGATTCCTATAATTACTTAAAACCAATATGAAAAATACCTAACTTCTATGACTCTGATAAGGAATATACCTCTATCGAATTATATAACAGTACTCGTAGTAAAATATAATACTACTCGTACCACCCTTACTCTAATAACATGGGGTTTATAGGAGTTATATTCCTTAATACTATATAGCTACATATGATGTCATTCATGACTTCTTATAATATTCAGCCGTGAATTATCAAATTTGAATCTAAAGAAATTAAACTTCTTGCTACAAGATTCCTGCTAGCTAATAATAAGATAATTATTTTGTAGGTTAAAAGTATTTTTCCTTTTAAACAAAAATAAGTAATTGTCTTACTACAAAGAAACCATGCTTTTGTTTCAAATCATATAATGACCAATGCAGTTAGCAAACCTTGGATTTACCCTGCCTAAGAATAACCTGGAGGACACTCCATATAAATAATTTCCTTCAAGTCATCACGAAAAAGACGTCTTTGATAGCTGATGCCCATAAACTATTTCTAAATCACTCTTTTTTTTTTTCAATTTGTAGTCATCGTCTCAGTTCATACCAAAGCCAATACAAACTTTAGTCATTTCCCTGAAAGTGAAAGGGGAATAGAAAAAGGTAAGTCACCAATCTATACCAAATGAATATACTTAATATGGTCTTGTTTGGACGGGTTATTTCAATAAGTTATTTGAGTCTAAATAACTAGGTTGGCAACGAAAAGACTGATAAATGGATGTGAATTAATTGAAATAATTTTTAGAATGAGTTAGTTGGAATAACACCTCAAGAGTAGTTAATTATTTGAATAACTCATCTTGTAAACCCTTTTCCCCCTTTTTGTGAAGAAATACCTCAAACCAAATTACTCATGCGAAAGCTCTAATCAAACAAAACAATTCTCGCGCGATGTAAGCCACGTCTAAAAATAATGCATCAATTTATCCCAAAATACCACATATGCAATATAACTCGTCCAAACTAATAATAAGTGATTGTTTTGACCAAGTCTTGTTACAAGTCCGTATTTTTACCACTTGGTAGTGAATGATCTATAAATCAAAGTGCATATGAAAAGGGATGCTTTGTGAAATTATGTAATTGATAGAGGTTGTTACATTTGTCGTCTGTGACTAGTTTGTTGCCTCGGTCCTATCCTTTACTCGATCGTTGATCTTTACGACTATTAACACGAGTTCTTACAATGGAAGAAATGGTTTCCCACCACTTCTTCTAAAAGAAACTTGTTTTATGTTTCCCATTTTTCCTTAAGCATGACTTACATGCATATGATGTGAAGATCTTAATTTCCCCATCAAAACTTAACTCGACTCATTGGTTTGTGATGCTTGATGATCGGGGATGCTAATGATTGTAACGACTTGTTTAATTTCTAAACTCTCCTTTTCCACTTGTGTAGTCTTCATCTTCTCGTCAATATTCTCAGCAATCATAATCTTTTCTTCTTTGCCTTTTGCCCATAGAACACTGTAAAGTCCTCCAACCAACAACACTCCACCCAATACACTATGGAAACACATCACCAAACAAGAACAATGTTAATTGGATTCACGAGTTGGTAAGATTCTACAGTTCACTGCTCAATAACTAGATCAATTTATATATAAATACACGTATGTATTCAATTTCTTTTAGTTTTTTGAAAGGTGATCAATCTTACGTTAGTCTGAACGTCCTCAATAAATTGTTATATTCCAAGTTGACAAATTCAACATAACTCCACTTATATATAGAGATTTTGATATTACACTGAAGGCGTATGTAACTCAATCCAAATAATTTGAATTCTTGAATAAAAGAAGGAAAGAGGATGATATATAATTATATACCTTCCAAGGTTGATGATGTCGCCTAGTAGTGCAGAAAACAACATTGTGAAGATCAAAATCAAAGGAGTAGACATGGCTAGAAAGACTGGACCTTTCTTCTCTACAACCCATGCTTGCAAGTAATACGTCACTCCAGTCACCACAAATCCCTAGAGATAAAAAAGCAAATCCATGAAACCACAACTTAATAGTGTGATTATGTAGTCATTATGTTTATGAGTTTAGTTATGATTACACAATAAGTTACAGCCACAAGTCTCATATTCCATCCAAGCATCCATTCGTGGGGATTTCTCTCAATGGCAACTGCAACAACTAGGGACTGAATCGAACTCAGAACGCATTGAAGAGCCGTGAAGAGAAGCTTTGATGGGTAGCTTTTCAGAAGTATTGCCTACAACCCCAAATGAAAATTGAAGGTAAAAAGAGTGTCAATGGACTTATGAATCAAAGGTGTTAATTTTTTACTCAATTAACTTGGGGACAAACCCTATCCGACCCAAACCTAACCAAAACAGTTACGATCTGACCCATCATCCATCATAATCAGATTTGTCTGGCATGTGAATTTTTGTCATCCAACCATGTTTGACCTGTATAATTACATGTTTGATCATATCAATACTAATGCATTAGATTCTATCAAAACTCTTAGGTTACATGTGGCTGCATGGCAATACTGTTAATATGGGTGAGCTATTGGAAAGTCCTCTATCTTGTTGTACCATTTGTGTAAACCTAACCCACCTATTAATTGTGGCATTTGTCCCTACAACAAACAAACTTAATCAACCACTTATAGGCTAGTGATTCTATAGAAAGGTAAAAAGTTAGCTAGTACCTACCTGAAAGATGAGCCATAAGCCCCAAGTAAGGTTGGAGAAGAGCATCAAGAAACAACATTTGACCCATGTGTTATGAGAAGAGCTAGAGTTTTGCTGAGGTCTAAGGTCATGTCCATGGAGTTCATCATGTTTAAAGAGAGACAAGACCTTAAAATGGGGGCCTTTGTAGAAAGCAAGAACTGTCACTCCTCCCATGCATATAACTATCCCAGCTAGTTTTGCCATTCCTGTTTTTGTCCTCACCTTTAATATCTCCATTCTGTGTGAGGTAACAAAATTAGCTAATTAACTTAGTTTAGAACACATTCATTAATATTAGCTAGTATTTATGAGTGGTTAGATTGTTTCTACTTTTATATGTAGGAAGCTATCCTATATTGAATTTGGCAAAAATGGTCACAACTCAGCTTTGTAAGAACGTGCTCACATAGAACCGCAATCATACAGTTAAAACGCGCAATCATACACGATCGCAAACTTGTTTGATTTTAGTAATCCAATAATGCACATATATAGTATCATTGGATTAATTGGACGGTTGATATTACAAGAGCGTGATATAGCAATATCAGTAATTCTATAGGTACGCTGCTCATCATATTAAATCCCTTGACCTAATCCTAGTTCAATATAATTAATCATTTCATCAAATATATGCAACCACATTAAAAAAGATGGTGTACTGAGAAGGAAAAAAAGTATCTTCACAGACATTCGATAAAATCAGAAATATCGATATTGATTTTTGTTTGACTTATACTTTATTAATTAAGGGCTAATACTGATGGGAAATCCGAACTATCAAGAAAGTGTCATTTGTGTCCCAAACTATTCAATATGACATTTATGTTCAGAACTATTTTACCGTTAATGTTGACCGAGTTTACCGTCAATATTTAACATAAAATTCAGTCAGTGTCAACGTGACATCTTATATGTAATTTTAAATATTAAATTTTATTTATATTTTCATTTAAAATGATTAAAATGAGAAAAATAAAAAGTTATCAAAATCCCCAAATCGTCAACAGGCCTGGAAAAACAGATACGATCCCGAAAATCGATTTTACGGTATAGACGCTTATGACCTCCCCCTCTCCGTCGATTCCGCTCCTAAGTCAACACCAAGTTGACCACCATTTGATCAACCGTTATCTATAACGGTTAACAAAATTGTCATTACATAAATGACACAAAACTATCATACGTTGGAATATAAATAAAATATTAAATATTTCTTAACACAAATAACATCCTTTTTTATTTCGAGTTTTCCAATGATATTAGCTTATTAATTAATGGTAGCAGAGAGTAGAAGTACTAAAGAATATTAATTAACCTACAAATTTGATGAACGACTTTGGATGAAGTGCTAAAGATTATTAATTTTTTTAAAAAAGTAATATTAATTAATTAGTTAGTTAAGTTAACTTACCCGAATAGAAGAGCCACGAAGAACGTAATGGCTGGCAGGGTATTACCAATGGCAGCACCCAAAGTGGCTGAAGTGTACATCAAAGCTATCCCATTGACGTTCAAGCTCAACGTTATCCTGCATCATCCATCATCAATTCATAAATGCGTCAAAAGACACAATATAACAATCCAACGATATCAGCATGTTTGTTTATCTGTCCGTTGTTAATTATCATATATAATATCTTAATTCCCTTGTGTGCCGCGTTACACGATATATGTGGCTTAAGAATTTGAACAAAACTGAAACAAACCGATTTATTTTACCCGAAGAGGGAGAGGACGAAGATCTTGCAGAAGGTGGGGAGCGACAGCGCCGGCGCGTGCTTCCTGTTCGCCGCCGGCCGAGGTTTGGACCATGAAAAAAGTGTTATATATCAATGTAATGAAAAGAGTCAAGGTAGCGAATGCAATATTGTAGTGAAAACTTAGAAAGCGTTTTGGTGATCTAAAAGTATAAAATCGTGAGATTTTAAGCTTTAAAACGCGTTTTTAACTACATTAGTTATAAAAACTTCAATATTGGGTAAAAGCATTATGATAACCTACGTGATTTTGGTAAAATACAATACATGTACATAACCTAGAAGCATGAAAGTATAAGTTTTTAAGTTTTAAAGCGTGCTTTCGACTGTATTACTGAAGTGGTAATAATATTTGTGTATTTATTATTTTTACCATTCGAGGAAGAGGGCGAGAGGGACGATGAGGGCGGAGGCGAAGGTCTGCCGGTAGAAGACGAAGATGGAAGCTTTGAAGCCGCCGTCGAACGCCTTCTTGGAGAGGAGGAACATCCCGGTGTAGATAAGCTGTATTAGTACCACCGCTCCGTACGCCTTCTTGTCATTACCAAATTTCACCGTTGGTGAAGCTCCTCCCATATGGAAAAGCTTTTCCGATGATCGGCGACGATGGTTTGTTTGTTTGTCGTATTGTTTTGCTTCTGTGTATGGGGTGTGTGTTTGTGATGGTTTTCCAAGTTGAAGAGTCCGCTCATTTATATATGTTAAATTGGAATAGAGAGATTGAGATATCCTAACTTTTGACAAATTGTTTGAGTCGACGTGTGACTATTGATTTCAATCAAAATGACATGTGAACTACTCATTTTACGTGTTTATGAAGAGTGTAATTTCATGATGCGGCGACGGTTGAAATTAAATTTTTTTTTGTTTAGTAATTATGTGCGATCAATACGAAGAACTCGGTTTATGTGTACGATATGCAAGATATAGGATTCACGCGGAACGGTTAATAGGTTATTATGATGTTGTTGAGATCATTTTCACGCTTATAAAGAACTTACACGAATCAGAGCCTGCAACAAATAGGGTTTCTAAGGTAAACCACTTTACAAATTATGACTAAAATATACATCCATACAAATAAACAAGTCGAATCAGAGTTCAAATTGACCCTTCTATAAGATTTCAGACTACATTATCGGAGTTACGAATAATAGATCAAACTTCATGCTCCTAGTCTAAATCTTATAAACAGGTCGAACCAAGCGATTTGGATCCGGATTCGGATAGTTTTGGTCACAACTCACATGGCCAATGCTTTTCCAAAACGAGTCATTATGGCCAAAATGTCTTGTTAAAGAAACAAAGGATACTTTAGCATCACAATGCCTCTTTTGACCCATTTTCCAAATCTGTGTAGATACGTTGGGACACTTTGGAATGAACCATCAAAACACAAACCATAAAAAATCAACTAGTCTCTTTAGTATCCATTTTCCAGTGGGGATGAGCTTCCGAAGGTTGTGTTCGATGTTTTCTTGGTATTGGCATCTTGGCGCCGTCCCATGAAGTTCAATAACCAGCAACCGATATGATACTTTATACTGAAACTGTGGTTTTGTTATTAGGTTTTTATATTATCATTATATATTGGTTGGATATTTATTATTGGATTTAGTAGTAATCGAGTAGTATTAGGTCTATTATCAAGTCCTTCATATCTTTTTCTATATGTTTCTATTTAATTAAGTACGTGTAATTCCTTTACAATAATTAAGTTGAATAATTTCACCTGAGAGGAATCAAGAGACATTGTAGAAGGCTTTCAGTTGGTTTGGGATATCGAGGTACATGAGAGTACGTGTCAAGTTGGTTCTAACCAAAATTATTTGTTCATCATGCTTAATGGTTTTTAAAGTAACTAATATTTTTGGTCACATAAAAAATACTGTAATAGTCACTTATTCAAAAACAAAAAAAAAAACCAATTTACAATCAAATTAAACTTTACATAACTAAAAATATTGGCAACAAAACAATTTGACTATCTTTTCTGACCAAATTTATTGGTTAGTCATTTTTAACTGCAATATGTCTTGCTGTTTGCAATGTCTCATTGTTCAATCTAAATTGTTGAAAATGATTTTCTTTTTAATGATTGTAAAATTGGTTGAAATATTTATGTTATCATACAGATACCAAATCAAATTGTGACATTTTTATCAATTAATGATTGGAATTATCTTCTTGACGGTTAATTTTAATAAGGAATTAAATTGCCCAAACAGAAGAGACACGAAGAAGGTTATCGCTGGCAGAGAATTGACGGTGGCCGCACCCAAACAACAATTTACCTAACTTCGTTGATCACGCACGCCTAGGTGTAGCCTTATTTTGTTGATCACGATCTCGATACCTAACTATGTTGCAGAACTCCTAGGCGAGACATTTTGGTGTTGCCTAACACCTAAACGCATAAGTATAGGATTAAGCGTGCATTCGTGAACAACGTCTGTAACTCAACTTATGAAGAAAGATTCAATCATTAATCTTATATCGGTCACTAACCTTATTGTCATCAATAGATAAACCCTCAATAATTCTTTAATTTGTTTTACATCATGTTGGGAATCAACTGGTTTTATACAACTCCCCTACTTGTACCACACACTTAAGTAATTTACAATACCTCCACCAGAAAACCGGCTAAGCCCACGATCAGTAGCCCACCAGAAACCGGTCAACGTAGCAACAACGCAGGACAACCTTGTTGTTGCTACGTTTAACCGCCGATTACTAAACGAAGGTTGGCCTGTGTTTAACCGTGGTCAAAGGAACTATCAAACCAATGGTCAAAACGACCACGTCGCTGCCGTTTCGCCCAACGATTTAACCATTAGAAACGGTCGCTTCGCTTCACTTACTCACTTATGAATTATGATTAGTTTTGGATGAGCTATATTTCGCATATGTTGTTTTTCTAGATTACTTGTTGAGGCATTATTTTTAGATGTGGCATTTACGAGTTAGTTATTTGGGGCTTATATCACGTGAGCAATGTGGTTTGTTCTTTGTTGTATCTCTTCCCAAAAAGGGAAGATACAGGGTTAACGAAATGAGTTATATCAAATTACTACGGCTTAGATGTGTCAATTATTTTAATTAACTCATATTCTAATTGTCATATGTGATAGTTTCATTGCCAAACAAGTTATATAGATTCAAATAACTAATGCTTATATTTGTTAATTATTTCAATTATTAACTCATATTATAGAAGACCAAAATGGCAGGGTTCAAGCCGCCGTCGAACGCCGCCTTCTAGACCAATAACATTCATATACATACATGTAATTATGTAAACTGCCGGCCGGTCATTACTCCGGTCATCTATTAGCTAGTAGCTAGTGATGGGTACCACGTAGTCAAAAATAACTCGTCCAAACTAATCATAAGTGATCGCTTTTGATCAAGTCTTTTTGTTTGGTTTCTCGGATTGTTTTAATGAGATTGCTACAAACGCTTATATTTCTTGTATTGGTTATTTTAATTTTCATGCAGACACAATGTCATCAGTTTGGTTGATGCGACTGAGATAATCATTCAAACTGAATGATTGTACAGTTTCAGTTTTTAGCTAAAATTGTTGTGACGGTTTAGTTGATAAATTTTTTTTTAGCTTTATCCTCTAAACAGAGTATAAATTACATTTTCATGAAAAATGAATTTTCTCTTCACTTATTAAAAGCACAACTACATTTATCAACTGTTGTAATATGTAATACATCAAATTCATAAATACGTGTGTAATCCAGTATATATCAGACAAACCAAACATTTTTCAGTTTGGGCTCCTTAAACAACTTTTACAATGTGTAGGCCGAGTGAATCTAACAAACCTAGGCCTCAAAACTAACCAGCAATATCCCACATATAAAAAGCTAGACTCAACGGCCCAAAACTCTAACCCAATAAAAGTTTGATTACTCTTAGCCCATAAGGTAAGGTAGAGGTGAAGAGAATATATATATGTCGTTACAAGTCTACTTGATAGTGAATGATCAGTAAATCAAAGTGCATATGAAAAGGGAGGTTTGTGCAACTATATGTAATTGATAGAGAGTGTTAATTACATTTGTCCCTTTGACCAGTTTGTTGCCTGGGCCCTGGCCTCTAATCTTTGATCGTTATTTATTGTTAACACGAAATGTTACAATGAAAGAGATGGTTTTCCATAACTTTTTCTAAAAGAAACTTGTTTTATGTTTTCCCATCTTGTTTTGAAGCATGACTTGCATGTAGATGATGTTAAGATCTTAATTTCCTCATCTAAACTTAACTCGACTCATTGGCTTGTGATGCTTGCTGATCGGAGATGCTAATGATTGTAACGACTTGTTTAAGCTCTAAGCTCTCTTTTTCCACTTGTGTAGGCTTCATCTTCTCATCATTAATATTATTAGCAATCATCATCATCTTTTCTTCTTTGCCTTTTGCCCATAGAACACTGTAAAGTCCTCCAACCAACAACACTCCACCCAATACACTATGGGAACACATTGCCAAACAAGAACAATGTTAAATTGGATTCATGAGTTGGTAAGATTCTACTGTTTATTGCTGCTCAATAACTAGATAGAGATATATATAAATACACGTCTGTGTACAATTTCTTTTAGGTTTTTTATTGGTGATCAATCATATGTAGCCTGATCGTCCCCATAAATTGTTATATTTCAAGTTGGCATGATTCAACATAAATCCACTTAATATATAGAGATTTGGATGTTACACTGAAGACGTGTGTAATTCAATCCAAATAATTTGAATTGTTGGAAAAGAAGGAAAGAGGATGATATATAATTATATACCTTCCAAGGTTGATGAAGTCACCTAGTAGTGCAGAAAACAACATTGTGAAGATCAAAATCAAAGGAGTAGACATGGCTAGAAAGACTGGACCTTTCTTCTCTAGAACCCATGCTTGCAAGTAAAATGTCACTCCAGTCACCACAAAACCCTAGAGATAAAAAAAATTCATGAAACCTCAACTTAATACTATGATTAGGTGGTAATTATGATTATGAGTTTAGTTATGATTACACAATAAGTTACAATAAGTTACAGCCACAAGTCTCATATTCCAGCCAAGCTTCCACTCCTGGGGATTTCTCTCAATGGCAACTGCAACCACTAAGGACTGGATCGAACTTAGAAAGCATTGAAGAGCTGTGAAGAGAAACTTTGATGGGTAGCTTTTCAGAAGTATTGCCTACAACACCAAATGAAAATTTGAAGTAAAAAAGTGTGTCAATGGACTTATGAACCAAAGTTGGCAAATTTTCACCCAATTAACCCGGGGATAAACCCTACCCGACCTAAACCTAACCAAAACCGTTATGATTTGACCATCACCCATCATAATCCGATCTGTCTGGCATGTGAATTTTCATCATCAAACCATGTTTGACCAGTAATTATATTACATGTCCGATTATATATATCAACAACAATGCATAATATCCCATAAGAACTCTGAGATTAAACGTGCCTGCATGACAACATTGTTAATACGAGTGTGCTATTGGAAAGTACTCTATCTTGTTGTACCCTTTGTATAAACCTAACCTACCTATTAATTGTGGCATTTATAGACTACCATGCAAACAAACTTAATCAACCACTTATAGACTAGTGGTTCTATAGAGAGGTAGGTAGCTAGTTGTTACCTACCTGAAAAACGAGCCAGAAGCCCCAGCTAAGGTTGGAGAAGAGCATCCAGAAACAACCTTTGACCCATGTGTTATGAGAAGAGCTAGAGTCTTGATGTGGTCTAAGATCATGTCCATGGAGGTGGTCATCATGTTTAAAGAGAGACAAGACCTTAAAATGGGGGCCTTTGTAGAAAGCAAGAACTGCCACTCCTCCCATGCATATCAATATCCCAACTAGCTTTGCCATTCCTGGTTTTGTCCTCACCTTCAATTTCTCCATTCTGTGTGTGAGAGGTAATACACATAGAGCACACAGAAAAATATTAGACAATTAACTTACTTTAGAACAGGCATTGGCAAAAATGGTTATCATATTAAATCCCTTGACCTAATCCTAATTCAATATATAAATAATCATTTCATCAAATATATGCAACCACATGAAGAAAAAAGAAATGATGTACGGAGTGTCAAGAACCAGTTGCTCCTAATAACTCGAGTTGTTGTGAGAAAGTTCCGTTGGATCTTATACCACACTCTTACACGCCCCCTCAAACGAAAGCCAACCCATGGGCTTGAAGTTTGCACAGGCCCACCATATCTTGTGCTTTAATCAAATGTTAATATTGGTGGTCGTGGAGATTCGAACACGCGACCACTTGGCCAAACCAACTCTGATACCATGTCAAGAACCAGTTGCTTCCAATAACTCGAGTTGTTGGGAGTAAGTTCTACTGGATCTTATACCACACTCTTACACGGAGAAACAACAACACAATTTTTTTTAAGACATCTTCACATACATCCGATAAAGTTAGAATTATCGATATCAATTTGTAGAAAGTGCTAAAGGAGTTTAGATTTAACCTTCAAATTGATGAGTGAGTTTAGATGAAGTGCTAAAGATTTTTTTTTTTAAGTAATAATTAATTAATTAGTTGAATTACCCGAATAAAAGAGCCACGAAGAACGTAATGGCTGGCAGAGTATTAACACTAGCAGCACCCAAAGTGGCTGAAGTATAGATCAAAGCTATCCCATTGACGTTCAATGTCAACGTTATCCTGCCCCATCCATTCGTCCATTCATAAACGCGTCAAAACGCGTTATAACAATCCAACGATACCAGCATGTGTGAGTAGTAAGGAATTTTAACGAAATTAATTTGAAGCAAATTGATTCGTTTTACCCGAAGAGGGAGAGGACGAAGATCTTGCAGAAGGTGGGCAGCGAGAGCGCCGGCGCGTGCTTCCTGTTCGCCGCCGGCCGAAGTTGGAACGTTAAACAAGTGTTGATGAAATGGAAAAGTCTATTGTGTATTTTATACCATTCGAGGAAGAAGGCGAGAGGGACGATGAGGGCGGCGGCGAAGGTTTGCCGGTAGAAGACGAAGATGGAAGTTTTGAAGCCGCCGTCGAGCGCCGCCTTGGAGAGGAGGAACAATCCGGCGTAGATAAGCTGTATTATTACCACCGCTCCATACGCCTTCTTGCCGTCATGGAACTCCGCCGTCGTCGGTGAAGCTCCTCCCATAACGAAAAGCTTTTTCCGATGATTGGCGACGGTGGTTTTTTGGTGTGTGGCGGGCAAGAAAGAAAGATTATTTGGTTTTTGTTGTGTTTTGATGAAAAGTGAAGAGTCCACTCATTTTATATATGTTGAAGATGATTGGAATGGAAAGATCGAGATATTCTAATTTGACAAAATTGTTTGAGTTGATGTGACTATAAATTGATTTCAATCAAAATGACATGTGTACTACTCATTTTTCATTTGTGAAGAGTTGTAATTTTACTAAGCGACGGGTTAGCGATAGACAAATCGATAAGATCAAGTTCATATATATTGTTGATGCTTAATTTTTTTTTTGTTTAGCAATATGAAGAACTCGATTTATGTGTATGATATGCAAGATATAGGATTCATGCGTTATAGTCAAGGGGTTATTATGATGTTGTTGTGTCCATTTCACGCTTATAAAGAACTTACACGAATCAGAGAGTGCAATAAATAAGGTTTCTAAGGCAAACCACTTTACAAGTTATGACTAAAATATACATATGCCTATAAACAGGTTGAACCGGTTTTCAAATTAACGCTTCTATCAAATTTCACACTACAATATTATTGGAGTTACGAATAATAGATCAAACTTCATACACTTCTTGTCTAAATCTTATAAACAGGTCGAACCAAGCGATTTGGATTTGGATTCGGATAGTTTTGGTCACATGGCCAATGCTTTCCAGACCGATTCATTATGGCCAAAACCGTCTTGTTGAAGAAACAAAAGATACTTTAGCATCACAATGCCTCTTTTGACTCATTTTTCCAAATGTGTGTAAATACGTCCGGACACTTTGGAATGAACCATAAAAAACACAAACAATAACAAAATCAACCAATCTAATTAACATATTTTTTTGGGTTTATCATCGCCATATCCAAAAGAAGTCAAAATCGAGGACAAAAAAATATCTAGTCAAATTTGTCTTGATGAAGCGATTAGAATAAAGCCAGTCCAATCTTTAGTACCCAATTTCGAGTGGGCCGGATGAGCTTCCGAAGGTTGTGTTCGATATTTTTATTGGTATTGGCATCTTGGAGCCGTCCCATCTCCCATGAAAGTTCAATAACCAGCTAACAGTTATGGTAGATTATTGTAATGAAAAATTCAGCAGTATAATACTTTATGCTATTGCTGAAATCATGATTTAATGGTGGCTTTATCATCAGATTTCTATATTATTATCATTATTTATTAGTCAGATATTTATTATTGGATTTAGTAGTAATCGAGTAGTATTAGGTCTATTATCAGATTCTTCGCATCTTTTTCTATATGTTTCTATATATGTACGTTGTTGTTCCTTTACAAGAATTGTCGAATAATTATAAATAAAAAAGAATTAAGTCGAATAATGCAAAAACTATCCCAAACCCTAATCTATCTTGTTTTCAATCCTCTTAATCCAGTCTCTCCTCTTCCTAAGACCGCATGTCATTCTCTCTTATTTTGCCTAATTTTTTATTTTAAATCTCTAATCCTCAATTCTGATCTAATTCTATTTCTCAATCTCTAAATCCCTTATATCCGACCCGGTTACGGTAGCTTAGAAATCCATACCTTAGAAGCTTGATCTATAGTATGTATGGATACACAAATTTATGGTTAACAATAATGGAAGCTTGGCTAGAAGATGATAGAAGGGATATTGACCTATGATGGAGAGAAGAGAAAGGTTCATATGCGGCCGGATGGGTGAGGTTTCCATATTGGGACGTGTGTGTCCAAACTCTCCAAAGGATATTGGTCACCTACGTTACAAAATTTTCCCTTTCTATATTTTTTGTTTCTCCTCTTCAAAAATAAGTTGTTATTAGCTAGCAATCTCCTTTATTTTGAATTCTGATAAAATTTCTTGGTTGTAAAATGTCTTGCTTTCGAGTTATTTGTAATAACATATGTCTTCTGAATGCATGTGTGTATTTGACGGTATATGGTATAAACAGGTATGCCCGCTGAGATATACTCTTGGAACTCCGGATCAGGTCTGTCGTTTAAATTGTTCCTTGTATGGACTTAAACAGGCACCCCATGCTTGGTTTGAGAAATTCTGCCACCGATAATTTCACCGACCAGGAAGGAATACTTCTAGATATAAGGGATCCATTAATTTTTCTCTTATGCGAATGGTTCTAGATTTATTCTTAATAAGATACAAGTCAACACATATATAAAAAGAAATGCTCGAAATCATGAGTTCATTGTATTGTATAGGCAAGACTTCTAAAGAGTTATCCACAAAAGCTTCTATTCACGGCTCTTCAATGTACTCTGGCTTCAATTCAGTCATTTGTTGTTGCAATATATGCTTACTAGCTTATAGTATATAAGAAGGAAGAAATTAGACACATTTAAGCATATTTTTAATCTACGTACGTACGCACAACTTTCACCCCAGTGAATTGATTTTTCTGTTTGATCTATCTTATGGCATTCCCAGGATTTCCTTGCCGTAAGGATAAGAAAGGAAGCTGGGCAGGAGTGGGTTGAGTGAGTTTCAATTAGTTTGACTCAGTCGCTTACTAACGAGTGGTATGTACAATTGTGACCTGCAATTCATCCACACTTCTCTTCGGGTGGAGTTAGGTGGGTGGCAGATAGGAATGATTGGTTGTGAGTTAACGAGAAACGTTATGAGTTTGTAAGGAGGTGATTAATATCCATACATATTGGCCTCTCCAAAATTATTCAAGTTATTGAGACCAGTTGGTGTATAACACAATCATGGTTCAAAAAGGCGCGCTTAGCCATGAGTATGCGCTAGGCAACATCAAAACGCCTCACACTAAAGGTTCTGCGGTGAGTTAGTTACCGAGAACACGTCGATGGAGTAATAGAAACACTTAGATGTCACTTTAAGTATAATTAGATGGAGCTAGGAAGTCAATATCAAAGGAGAAATTAGCATCTACAAACTCAATCTTTTCAATAGCTCAAGAACGTTGTGAGCTATTGAATTATGATCCTAAGAACTTTTGAGTCAATTTTTTTATGGTTAAGTAAGTTATTAATTAAAAAAATGATATCATTATTAAAAAAATTAGTTGACATCAAGATTGTCAACCCGGATCGATTTCTGGTTGATCCTATATGACCCTAACCTGGTGAGAAAAAAGGAAGCTACATATTCGCGGGTCGAATGATTGCAAGGTTCTTGTATTATAAGTTATATTCATCCTAATATATACATCTCATCACCAAAACCATCAAACAAACAAGCCGTAATTCATTGGTTGGATTAGGATTTTCCAGCAGATTTTACTTTGAATGTGGAAAAGTTGACAATGAATTAGGGATTTGAGCATTTGGAATTAGAGATAGATTTTAGCAATTTATTTACGTAAAACTATGAATTGCCAGGTGGGCCCCCAGCCCACTCAGTTTAGCCACTGATACTGGGTTCAATTCCCCTTGAGGTTGTTTAAAAATGCTCCTAATGTTTGGGGTTTTGGCGAGGAGATTCAAGGTGGGCCCCGAGCCCACTCAGTCTAGCTCTGTCGGCCTGCCTCCGCCCCTTGGCGAGGAGATTAATGTTTTTATTATTATTCAACTCGCCTAAAAAAAAATTAAATTCCATTGTTACCATTCGCTTTTATGTTTAGTATTTTTAACTTTGTTCGTGGGATAATCGACAATGCAAGAAAAATAAAGAACACGTAAATTTATGTGCATGGTTCATTAATACAACATGCGTTAGTTAGTCCACAAGTAGGAGAGAGTCAGTGTCACTATATTTGAAGAGATCACATATTACAGAGTGATTGATAAAGTATATATAGTAGTACTTCTCTATACGATATACATCGTTGCTTCCGATGGACGAAAAATAATCTGTTTTAAATAAGATTTCGGCGCGGTGCAAACTGCAAAGTCAACGATAACAAGAAGGCGTATGGAGCCGTGGTCAGGGGCGGACCCATGTGTTAGGGAGGTGTGTCAAGCGACACACCTCCGCCCGAATATTTTGTGAGAGACCCATGTTTTGTCGGTATAATTTTTTGGAATTTAGGACTTCCGACACACCTTCAATAATTATAATCGACACACCTTCACTACACTATGATGAAATTAGTGTCATAGAGTTCCCAAAATACATAAATATATATTATTTATTTTAAATTTTAGTTAACTTATGACAAATTTGGGGTTCTTTCCATTGCTTAAGCATTTAGACCCAATGATTTATTGCTCTTAGGTCTTAGGCATGGGAAATCGTAAGGAAGTTTTCTCCTTTTTCTCTCTACCTAAATAAGTTTCGTGTCTTCTTGATCCTTGAAGCTTTCACATAATTGTCCACCTAGTGACAAAAAATGTTCTTTCATCGAGAGTCCGGTTGCATATGGACTACTACTCTTTATTATTGTCTATCTTATAAAAAAAACCTAGTGTTCCCTTTACCTCTTTCAATCCCACTTCTCGTTGTCTTTCACAGTAAAATATAAATAAAAAATTTATTTATTATTTTATTTAATTTATCGACCGACACACCTTTACGAGAATCCTGGGTCCGCCACTGGCCGTGGTGTTGACAAAAGGCGGCGTTCTACCGGCGGCTTGAGCCCGGCCGGCCGCCTTCGTCATCTACCGGCAAGCCTCCGTCACCCTCTGCCCTCTTCCTCTAATGGTGCGTATTAATTAGACTTTAGACACCATGCATGCATATAGAGACAATACGTATTCCACTTATATTTATTTATCTATTCATGGAGCTCTTTAGTCCATCTTCTTTTAAATTTATTCGGAAAAAAACCGGTGCACGTCAGTAATTTAGTGTTGTTCGAAACAATATCATTGTAACTCATATAACGTTCTCCTACGCATCTTTTGCTCGAACAAAAGCCAAACTCATAATTTTACTGTATTTACACCATGTGTTGATATTCGACGATACTGTACTGATAATAGATGCTGCGAGTTATCGAATCTCACATCTAATCTCACATTCAAAATCTATTTTATATACATA